GATATACTTCCATGATAAACAACTAACGAGGATATACCAGTGTATCTAATTATATATCAAATTATTAAGTGATTTGAACAAAACTAGTAATTTTTAAAAGTCAGTTAATTTTGTTATACGAAGAAATAAAGAGCGTACGTAGAATTAGAAGGAGAATATATAAAACGTTTTAACGTTAGACATCAAAGTACTGTAGATATCAATAATGGTCAGGTAATCCTTTATTTCTATGCTGCATGTGATAAATCAAGCGAATCACTTGCGTTACAAAAATCGAAAATTAATTGCAATTCTGATAATATCGCTTTTCCGACTTATGTTTAGTAAATATTTATCGTTCAATTTAACGAGTATTATTTATCCTATAATTCCTAAATCCTTTTCTTAACAGCTTGTATATATACACACATATATACATACATACATACATATGTATATATATATAAGGTAAACTATTTATCATGATTACTGCAAATAGATAAAAATATATAAATACTAAAAAGTGACCAATACAAAAATTGAAGAAGAAAATTGAAGAGTTGAAAGACACGTAATATAGTGATGTTTGGGGGGTAGAGATATCAAGGTCACATCAAAGTTAATTTGAATTTTGTAAAATAAACTATTACTTTTAAATATCTACATTTGCCATTCCTTTCACGGTGAATACAACGACGTATGATTCCAAGTCACTGAAAAAATGATCAAATATAAACTCAGGATACATATATTTTCTGGCATATAAAATATAAATTATCTCGTAAGAGATCCCACTTATACTTTTGGATGATTCTAACTTAAAACTTATATGCGTAAAATTGCGAAAGTATATATAATCGATGTTGAAAAATACTGTTGCATTAAAAAAAAAAAAGGTGTAATTGCACAAATGCACATGTGTGTAAAGAATATTAATATTAATAGATTTTCTTCATATTTCAGATATAAATATATTGTGATGAAATTAAGATTGAAACATTACAAGGTATTTTAAAATATCTCGAACTTGTTTTCGACAATTTGATTTTTAATGATCTTGAATTTTAGGCCATTCTACTCGTGAGATGAGCTATAAATGTATGTATTGAGGCAACTATAATCTACTTTGAAAAAAGCTGATCCTAACAATACCCCTTAAAGTCAAACAAAAATTATCACATTGAATATGCTATTTTGATAGTATAAAACTTCCATTCAAAATATTTGTTTCAGAAAACTTTTGGCTCGAGAGAAAAGCTAATGTATTAGTTCAAATGTATCACTTTGCATATGCATGTACGCGCTTATGTATGTACATATGTATGCATGTGTATGTATATATGCGCAGCAATGAATGAATAATATGAAATATTAATGCTTATCATTGCTGCTCGCATGACGAGTAGCATAACGAATGAATTTTCCATATTGTTTAAATGATTTCAACGATAAAAAACAGTTTCTACGTATATACACGACTTCCCATTTCGCTTAAACAGCACACAGTTACTGTCGTATATGCGACTATCTACATCGAGCCCTACGTTGACCATCGAATTGCGAAAGTACTTGAACAACATTTCTGTTTACCCTGGTCTCTTTTAGTATCAACGCTCAATGATAATTGGTGAAAATTATACAGGTATGTACTGTACTGTTCGCTCGCATGTTAGAATTTGCGCGGCAGTGTTGGTTAATGAGCGATGAGAAAAAAAGTAGTACGGAACGGCAGAAAGTATCTTTAGAACGTATACGAAACCGTTTGCTATTGTTTTGGCTCAAAATTTGAATTTTCCGCCAACCACGAATGTAGATCAATCAGATTTATTGATATACTGATAAATTGATATATTGATAAATTCTATTTATGCAACTAAGATGACCAAGCAAAAAGTTTGTAACATGTTTTTTTCGATGTGCATATTTCAGAATAGAAAAAAATCGTTAGAATAATCAGACGATTTTTACATGTTTTGAAATTCGTCAAATTGAAAAACAATTTGAAGTTGAAGAAGACAACTTTATACACGGCTTTACGAATTTCAATCTTAAACGAGGCGTCTTCATACAGATGCGAAAATTGTAGAAAGCCTTAATAATTAAATATTAAGACACATGACGTTTGGTCTACTTTTCAGCCAAACGAGGTACATCTAATTGTTTCGCATATTAAAAGTATACTCTCTGCCGTTTTTGACATCCTAAGAAAATCTCAAGACGCTCATCATTAGAGGCACTCTGTCCGCGACTATGCTGTCAAGTAAATGCACACGAGTAATTATTTCGCAATCGCTGTTATGCGCTGATAAAACCAATTCACGCCTTGATTTAAGGAAATATTTCTGTTCAGAACTTTAACAAAGTAGACTTATTTTTCTTCTATATTTGTCGAACGTCTGTTAGATATAAATTCTTAAGATATTATCTGTTAAAAATGTAAAAGAAGTTAAGTAAATTATGTATACTCATGAGCTGTAGCGAGCAAATCGAAATTCACTTAAAGTCGATTGTTTGCGAGCCAAAGACATTTTATATTTTTGCCTAATGTTTTGTGTTAAAGATAGTATATAGAATGTTCTGAAACCTACTTGTGAAGAATTTTCACAAAATGTTTTGTTCAAGAAATGCAATGATATACAGTTTCGTTTCTATAATATGAACATTTACATCTAAGAGTGTTTCATATTTTGAAAACAGTAGAAACTATGATGCGTTTAACTAAGTGCATTTTAATTATAATTTTTTATTTCGTTTTAAAAATATTAACATTTACGAGTGCGATAATTAGATACACTATTGTAATGTTAACTTGATTCCAATACGATCTAGATAAAAAATTTTCAAAATATGTGTCGCGAGCTGATTTTTAGTGGGTCGCAAAAAATTTATGAATATTAAATCACATTTCATTACTTCGCGTAATTTTACAAACTTATAGATTTATATCCTCATAACATATTAACATATCACAAAGTGGTATAAATAAATAATCAATTTACCTTGCCTCCCTTCCGCTTTTTCATATTCACGAAAGCTAGCGGATATTCTAAAAAGTGATTCGCGGTTCAGGTAAGTTTGGGAAACATTGGTCTAGATACATTCTTCTCGATGCATTTTGGAACGTAGCTGATAGTTCAATGAGAGAACTTAACTTCTAAGAGTTAATAAGAAACAAATTTTTTTCTTTTATTGGATCGGCTGCGTTTCTAATTATATAAAAAAATGTCCCCATCGTATTGAAATTAAGTGTATGCATCAGTTTGAGCGGTGAATCAAGGAAGCTTACATTACTCATAGACGATAAATAATCAAAAAGTAATAAAGTAATAAAAAATAATCAGATAATCCTTTTTGTTTGGTTCTTTATATTATAAATATGTAAGTAAGACTTTAAAACTATTTTTTCTTGAAATTATCCCATTCAAAATATTTCACACATAATCATATAAAAATATAAATAACATAAATGCATAATTACATATATTAAATTATATATGAAAACTGTCCATAGATAATTACTTAATATTAACCATACATAATTATGTGTGATTAGATATAATTATCTAATTACTAATACAATTATCTAATTATGCTTATATTTCTATGCATGCAAGAAGATCTCAGCAAGTCTGTTTTTAAATCTCAACGTAGAGGAAATGGTTAAAAGTTTTTTATAGCATAAAACATGCATAATAGTAATCAGATAATTATATCTAATCACATCTAACTTAATATAAATTAATTTAATATAAATATACATAGTTATGTATATTTATACATAATTATATGTGAAATATTTTTTAACGGAACTCTTTAAGTTAGTAAACATAATATCCCAAAAGATACTGCACCGCGATCAGTTTGAAATATTTTCTACGCATAAAATCCACGTCTGTTTAGAGCTCGTATTAAATTATCATAACGGCTTATTTTTTTGTAGCTGTTAGAATAAAATAAAAATAAAGTAAAAATTCTCAATGAAACACTTCAACAAATATTTTGAAGAATCACGCTGTTTTATGCATTTTTATTTAATTTTTTTAGTCGAAATAACAGTCAAACTTTTACTTAATAGAAATTCTTTTGTTTCTTGTTGTAAATAAACAAAATTATTGCAATCAGTCAGTCAGCATCAATCAGAAACACATATCACGTTTCCTTCATGGTATCATATTTTGAAATTATTATATTTAAAAGTATTTTATATTTTGACATATACACGAAGAAATTTACAAAGACTGTATAAATATAAACAAATAAGTGCGTCAGATTTTTACGTATATTCATGCGGTAATTTTCTTTAAAAAGACTTCCAACACAGACTACTTTTTGTGTTCTACGCAAAAATACTTCCTTAAAATCTCGTTTATTTTGGTGGAGTGTCTTCGAGGAAAAATTTCGCTGTGTCAAGGGCGTGAAGAAAAAGAAGGAAAGAAAAGAAAAAAATAACAAAGAATACATTGTGCATTAAACGGGCGTAACGCTCAACTAACTACAAATTAATTTTATATCACTGCAACGAAATCGTGCAATTTCTATCGAGTGATATTAGAAAAGTTACAACAAATAAGATAAAAGTACCAATACCTAGATATGTACTTAATCCTGGATATTCTTATTGTTTTGATCTTTAAATACAAACATTTAAACTTAGAACATAAAATATATATGATACATTCAATATATTTATTATAATTGATACTGGTATTTGATACAATATGTATGTATATTCTAAGTTGAAAGTATAGTTTAAAGAGAAATTCATTATTTTCAATTTTTCCGTGGAAAGAAACGAAAAAGCAGCCGAAAATGGAAAAAAATCGGATTTCTTCCAAGCTTTTAAAGTTATAGTTAAAAGTTGAAAGATTCGTATCTTAAAACTAAAATAGTAAGAATGTCCAGAATTATTAAGTATATATTAATATATATATATATATATATATATATAAAATTAATTATATATATATATATATAATTAATATATATATAATTAATTAAGTATATATTCAGACATTGATACTTTTATCTTATGTTTTTTATATATTGTTGTACCTTTAGCTTTTATATACATGTAAAACTTACTGAAAAATAATGAGACATAAAGACGTTAAGTATATAAAATATTCCTAAAATGTTTAAACCAAATATTACGTACATTCCTCGAAGAAACTGTGTACGGCTACCATTATAATCTTCCGTGAGCTATCAAATCTGAGTTATCAAATTGTGCTCTCGCCTGTTATTTCCATCACCAGTACTCACAGCACGATAATAAGTGCACAACGATACTCGAATTAGTCTTACATAAATCTCTCTCTATTCTTTGCTCCGTTCTATCGGAATATCTTAAACAAAACGCATGAATGAGGCACTTGCCCGAATCTGTACCGGTCGCAGTAATACTCCATTCCTGTTATAGGTCAAGATCTGCCAACAATTAATACACAGAAGGCACGCCTCGTTTCTCGTGCGAATGCTTAAATGTCTCTACATAGTGTTTCATTTTATTTTGCATCAGTCTAAGCACATAACAGGTCACTGCTACGAACACAGTCCTCACATGATATCACATTACAACACATTACTACGATTCGATTCTTCAGCCTTCTCGTCGCAATCATAGGCGTTATTATCGTTATCGTCGTCGTTGTTGTTGTCGTTGTCGTCATCGTCGTCGTTGTCGTCGTCATCGTTGCTGTCATCGTTATTGTCGTCATTGACGCGGTCGTTGTCGTCATTGTCGCCGTCGTCGGGATACAATTTTTTCTTGCATTCTCGATTCTCCGTCGTTATCACAATCGTTATCTTCAAAAAATGAATCAAGAAGAAACCTCAAATTCGATCGAATTCTATATAAAAATAATTCCACACGACAGCCGTTCGTGAGCCTAATGATGAATGTGCGATGGACGTACACGAGAAAGTTTGAAAATATTCTATAAAACATAAGAGAAGATTCTCGGCCTGTTGCGTGACTATTTCCTTTGATAATCTAAGGGCATCCACAACATGTTTCCCAGCGCATCTTCTCGCCGTGCGTTTATCGTGAAATTAACGTAAAAGGAGGGGAAAAGTCCAGCTACGCGTAGTATAGCATCTACGACCGTATTTCTCCCTCAATAACCGTGTCACAGATGAGAGATACGTATAGTTATTTCTCAAGTACCAACACTGCTACTTCTTTAAGCGCTCAAAATTACCGACCGTTTCTTGCGACCAAATCGTAAATAGCGAAAGTGGAGTTCCTCCGCTTCCATAGAATATACGCTGGCGATGCGATGCGATGAGATGCGATACGTTGAAGTCGAAGGATTACTGTCACTTCCGTTGCGCCTCGTATGTCAGTCCACGTCGAAAGCACATCGAGTTCGTGTCGCCGCGTTTACGATAGTTCATGTCCTTAATTAGAAGACCGTCGTCCACGCTGCGATAGACCGTAGACTGGGACCGGGCCGGTGGTGGGCTATTTATGGGCGCGGCCACGTACGTAATCATGTCGTTAAAGTTCGGCAAGAACTGCGGATTGAAGAGCGACAGGATCCGTTCGTTGAGTTCACGCGGATCCCGCGTAGGTACCATGTAGTGATCTCGCGCGTTTCCCGTTGCTTCGTGTCGATCGAACCGACCGTCGTCTTCACCGTCATCAATGGTGCGAACGGCGAGATGATGCCCACAGAGTTTGTCGAGACTGTTGGCACTATCGCTGCTACCGGAATCCCCAAGTTCGCGTGTCGTCGGCTCGTTCATCAGCGTAGTCTCGACGCACTCGGAACGAAGATACCGATCGCATCTCGGTACCGCGGCGAATCGCTGCTGCTGTGCTTCGTAGGAGCCCAAATACTCGAGTGTGCAAATCTCGTCGTTCACGACGCTCTCGTAGTGATCCTCGTCGCGTTTATGCGTGTTACTCGTGTGGTCCGTGGTGATGCCGGTGGTAAGACTCGTTGGTGTCGTCCCGTCCTCGTCCTCGTCGTCGTCACCATCGTCCTCGTCGTTACGCTCGTCTGACTCCGCGAGATCGGAGGAAGAAGAGGAGGAAGATGCGCCAGAACCCGTGGGGTCCTGCGGCAAGCCTCAAACGGCTCTGTGTCGCCTTCTGTATCATATGTACGTTTTCTTTACCTTCTGCACCGGCTTATTCTCCGCGGACGAATTCGCGTTCTTGCCGTTCGGGTTCTTAGGCGGCACATTCAGCACCAAGTTGATAGATTTGTTGTTGAATCCCGGTGATTCCGAGCTTTCTGTCAGCCGGTTCAGTTGTTGCCGTTGTTCAGAGGGCTCCGGATACGGCGTCCCACGCAGTCGTTGGGCAAACCAGAATCCGAAAGCGAAACCGGCCACCAGAGAGCAGAAACAAGTGCCTATCAATGCGCCGGTTAACGTATGGGCTGAGTAGACCACTGGTGTCACTGTCACGCCTGTAATTAAATGACAATAAATATTGAAACACATACAGCATCACGACGACTAATCACTTCTTCTTGCTGAAACTATTCGCGCACAATCACACCATTTTGTTCATGCAAATTTAAGACGCCCGAGACAAAAAAAGCAAAAATAAAGCAACACACGAGAGGGACATGTGAATGTAAAAGTAGAAGCGGCAAAGATACGATTGATTTCACAGTAAATGTATTGGTCACATAAAAAATAGGACAAGTGTTAGTATAAAAAAATAAGTCTATTATTGGTGACAGTATATCTGGAAAATGCAAGAGAAGGTGACGATTTTAAGTGAATAAGATAAATTGAAAATGTCGAAAAATGTTTTAAGACTTAAAAGTGTTTTAAAACTTTGTTCAAAGTTTCAAATGTGAAGCTTTGTGTTCTTCTTCAAAAATTGAGAAAATTACAATAGGAAAGACTGGGGCTAATTGGCAGCAGAGATAAGTTGACACGCTGCTTATATTTCGGTTATTTTCTAATAAGTTATCAATCAAACAAATCAAACAAATAAAAATTGCAAAACTATCTTTACATATATCATATAAGTTGTACTTCATTACGTGCAACAGTTATGAAATAATAGTGTTAATTTGTAATTTTAACAGTGGAAGTAAAATCTCATAATCTCGTAAATTTATTTATATTATTAATAAATGTAGAATTTTATGTTAATTCTTATCGCAATTAGAAAATATATTTAGTTGATTATATTTTAACAAATGTTTCAACAATATATATATATATATTTATTTATTTATTTATATTTATATCCTGCTTTATATTAGGTCGGCCAGTAATTCCGTGCGGTTTTTGCTGGTAGATGGCTTTAGGTGCTTCAACCTAACTCCACCTTAGTCCAAATCTTGGGAACATATAATCATCGACATGTGACATTTTAACGTACATTAAAAAAAAAAACAAACAGCGTGAAGATTGATTGTGTTTTACGTGTTTGGTGTCGTTTGAAAAATGAATAACCAAATCGAGCATTTTCGGTATGTTTTTTATTTTACAAAATGCAAAAACGCGGCACAAATCTATAAAAACATATATACGGTGTATGGCGAGAATTCCGTGAAAGAACGCGTGTGCTGGAAGTGATTTGAGAGATTTCGTTTCAGAGATTTTTCTGTTTAAGACGCATCATGCTCGGGCTGGTAAATTCAGATCGGCAATGACAAAATGAAAGTTTTAATCGACACCAATCCATGTTACACGAGAGACGCGGAAGATTGCAGAGGTTCTCTAAATATTGAAATCGAGCATGGAAAATCATTTGCATATCAACTTGGCTACGTCAGCCAGCTCGGTGTTTGAGTTCCACACAAACTGAGTGAAGCTCATCTAATCACATACATTTCCATCAGTGATTCGTTCAGAAAATGTGAGAAAAGCGACCCATTTCTGAAGCGAATGGTGACAGGCGATGAAGAATTGAATCGTCTGTAACAACATCGAGCGCAAAAGATCGTGGGGGCAGTAAACCGCCAAAAAGCATTTTGAAGACAGAGCTTCACCCGAGCAAAGTCATGTTCTTAATTTAGTGGGATTTGGAAGAGTGTTGTGTTCTACGAGCTTCTTCCGGAGAACAGAATGATCAATTTGAATGTATATTGTGGTCAGCTGAACAAATTGAAAGCAGCGATCTACGAGAAGTGTCCAGAATTGATGAATCACAAGGGCATCGACTTTCATCATAACAATATTGTATAGCCAGGTTGCATACATCTTTGCAAACCCGGCAAAAATTACTGGAGCTGGGACATCTTACCTTATCCTCCATATTCATTAGATCATGCCCCCTTAAATTACCATATGTTTCCCACTCCCTTCAGAATTTCTTGAATGGACAGTGCTTCGTTTCCGAGGATGTCGATTAAACGGCACTTGGAACAGTTTCTCGCCGAGAAAAATAAGAAGTTCTTTGAGCGAGGAATTATGAAGCTGCCCGAAAAATGCCAAAAAATAGTGGATCGCAACGGCCAATACATTGTTGACTAAAGTTATTGCCTTCTATAAAGAAGTCGATTTTCATTTATAGGTAAAAAACCGCATGGAATTATTATCCAACCCAATAATCCCAATGATAACACACACGGAGAAAATATTTTATTAAAATTTTAGTACAAATTATGATACGACTGAAATTATCATGTTGTAATCCTTAGATGTGGATAATGAAATATATCATTAAAGATTACAGCACATATAATTTCAGTTATAATTCCGGTATGGTCCAACATTAACAAAATTTTACTACAATATTTCCTCCTCCATGTAATAAAACATATCGATAAAACATATCGATAAAACTGGAGAATAAATATAATTATGTAAGAAACATCGCTGAAAGTAGGATCGCGCGTATTATAGTAAAGTTCTTCAGCTTCGACATTAAAGGTGATGCCAATGATATGAAGCGATGGTGAACAATCTACTGTAATGCGTATAAATGGTTACCTTGAGGCTCATTAGCCCTTGGCTGCGTACGGCCGTACTGATTTTCCCGATCCAACTCGATGACGATTTCATTATCCCGTTCATCGGGTTGCTCGTCGCGCCCAATTTCGGGCGCCACCGCTGGTTGTACGGGCTTCGTCATTTCTGAAGTAACATTTACGAATATGATGACAAAGAACAAATGATTATGCATAAAATGAATCTGTATACATATAGTGATGTACGCATGAATACATTGTGAGATGGCTGATAATGAGTTATGTTAGCTGTGCGAGCGTCTGTCTTAGTTCAGTTGAGCACACGGAAAAAAAGAAGTAGCTCTCATAGCTGAAAACTGGCTCGCGTAGACAAAAATTAGCTATCCGTATAATAAAACTAAAATTTAGTTAATTTAGCTAATTCTTTTTGTCCCTGTACTTAGTTTTTAGCTCTTGCAGCCAAAAATTAGGTCTGGTACCTAAATTTCGGTTGTATTATATGGATAGCTAATTTCTTTTTTCTATGTAAGCGATAACGCGCGCAATTTAATTAACATATAATACTATTTCAACATAAATAAATGCTATAACATTTACTAAATGCATCATTCAAGAAACACATTATACAAATAAACAAATAAATATTTCAAAGAACACCTTACACATAATAAACAAAATGGTTGTGAACATACATCGTCTCGAAAAAAATATACCGAAATAAAAAAAAATAGGACAGTTTTCCCTGAAAAGTCATGACATCGAAATTCGTAAAATAAAATAACGCCTCTAAAAATATAACTTTTTTCCGAAATATTGGAAGTTTCGTTGTACAACCAAGAATATTAGTATTAGGTGCTTGAATTAATGCTCGCTGTTTTTGCTACAAAAACTTATGTTTATTTCAAAAGAACGGTACATTATATGTTATTCAAAATATTGTCTTTCGGAAGCTACAACCTTTTTCCACTTTTCGGGTAACACATGGATTCCGTGGTAGAAAAATTCAGGTTCTTTCGAGGCGATCTAGTTATCGAGCCATTTTTGATATCTTCGAAAGAAAAGTGCTGCTCAGAAAGGCCATGCTGCATTGACCGAAACAAATGGTAATCTGAAGGAGCAACGTCTGGTGAATAGGGCTGGTGGGGTAAGATATTCCATCCGAGTGTAAGATTTCCTTCATTGCTCTTTTGTGGTCTAGCATTGTCATGGAGAAGAATAATTTTGTCTTCTCTTTTGGCGTATTGCGGGCGTTTTTGTTTCAGTACTCCATTCAAATTGAGTAATTGTCTTCGACAGTGTTCAGCGTTGATGGTTTGACTCGGTTGCAGCAGCTCATAATACATTACACCGACTTGATCCCACCAAATGTACAGCATGATCTTTTCATGAATATCCTGTTTTGGCGTTGATGTTGATGTGTTCGCCGGGACGCACCCATGATTTCTTGCGTTTAGGATTGCCGTAACGAATCTATTTTTCATCGCCAGTCACAATTCGATGCAAAAACGACTTCCGTTTTTGTCTCTGAAGCAGGAATTCATAAATGGTTAAACGTTTCGCAATGCCTCTTGCTCTCAATTCATGTGAGACTTAGTTTTTTAGCTTCTGGATCATTCCCATTGTTTTTAAACGTTTGCTAACAGTTGATTCATCGACATTTAGTGTTTCCGACAACTCTTTGAGCGTTTGACATGAATCTTTTTCCAGTAATACCTCCAATTCTCCATCTTCAAATTTTTTTGGCTGACCAAGGCGCTCTTTGTCATTCACGTCAAAATCGTTGTCTTCGAATCGTCTAAACCAATCTTTTCAAGTTGTTTCAGATAGAGCATGTTCCCTCATAGTAAACGATGACGTTTAGCAACAGATTTCTTGAGATGAAAGCAGAAAAATAATGCTTTCTGCAAATGCTCTTTTTTTGGTACGAAACCCGACATCTTTAATGCAATAAAAAATTGTGTTCTTTACACTACGATCTAATGTCACGCATTAATTATTAAAGCCTATTGACAGTATTTTCGTATACATTAATAGTCACTTTCGGCCATGTTGAAATAGCATAACTACTGATTAGTCAACAGCGAGAATTAATTTAAGCATCTAATATCTATTTATTTGAGTATAGTAAGAGTATATACATCAAAATAAAGAGATATTAATATACTATGTGTACTGTTTTCAGAATAATAGTTTCTTCTTGGAACATGCATACTTCAGGAAACTTATATTGCGGAATATTGTTTTACAAGGAGAAGTCACGAGGTGTGAATAAATTTAACGAAACGCTGTACCAAAGACTGCGTAGCTCGGCAACAATGTGCCTGATCATAAATGAGATCGCTGGTTCGAGTTTCAATGAATTTCTTATTCAAATCAGAATGCAGTTTTTCATAAAATAATTATAAATCACATAGATTTATACATTTTACCTATTTATTTCTTATAAAAAATATGCATTTTCCTTTATTTACACTCTACCTTAAAAATTCGTTTTCGGAATTTCCGTCTATTAAAAATAAAATTATTTCAAGATTTTTACATTTGAGAGGATGTAAAAATATTATTAATAATTTCCGTTACCTTTACTTTCACATCGTTCGGAATTTTTTAACGTCGATTTTCTGGAAAATGTTTGAGAAGTGCACTTTTTTGTTCTGCTTAATAAAGGTTCTACCAAAGCTTATCGATACAAACAATATTATTGAAATCGGTTTTCAAATTTCGAGATTTCGATCTTTTAGAACAATACAATCCGCTAAAATAATTAGCAGTATGCTGGTAAATTAGCAGCAGATTCAGTCGGAAAACCGCAACAGTTCCATAGCGATCCATGTTTGTATTAAGTTCTATCGACAGATTCTACTGACATAATTTGACAATAGATTGACTCCAAAAATAACTTATCCTGTGCCAAATCATTCGTTTTTCCGCTAGTAAAATTTATAGCAGATATTTGACAATGTTTATCCCCAATATATAGTTGGCTGATTGGATTTGATTTATTGCTTTCATATATATTGCCTTCCAACTTTATTTTATTAAAATTTTATAAAATTTGTGTATTATATTAAAAATGAAATGTAAGATTAAATATTAGACTTTAGGAGAAAAATAAAAAATGATGCAATAACGCACGAATAAATAATAAATATATTCTCCAGCTATGTGTGTGTATATGTTCACACATACACTATTAATAATGATATGTTGTTAATCGAGTGGTATATATATCACGGTTATGTATTGCGTAACCTTTTAATAACATTGTTCCGCATTCATATCCACATTTGCGATACCGACTGTTACTGTGAATTATTCAAATTTATGTTGCATTTTTTAAAATTGTAAATTCATTTATCTGGAAGTCGGTTTTTGTAATATTTTAATTTCTACTTATCAAAAATATTAGAGGCTTATCTGTAAAT